CGGCACAAACGAGGCTGTCGCCAAAATATCGACAACTATCGACCTATAAGCCATACACCCTTTGCGTCCCGAGTTATGGAAAGGATAGTCAAGGAGGGGATGCTTCATTTTCTACTGCAGCGCAATCTCATAAATAAGTCCCAACACGGGTTTCTGCCGGCTAAATCGTGCCAAACATGCCAGTTTGAATTCTTGAACTACGTGACACACTCCATTGACTCGGGTTATAGCGCGTAGATCGTGCGCTATAAACTCGGTACGCGACTAGACGGCCAACCAAAAATAATGGATAGAAGACACAACAGTAAGCTAGGGAAAAGTTTATTGGACGGGAGGAGCGTTAGCTAATGCTAAAAATAGGGCACCCGGAGAGAGCTAGCTAGGGAGAATGTCGATGGCGTCGAGTGCGTTGACAGAGCGTCGTTCGCAATCGAGTCGCGCGCGCCAAAGGCGGAGATGGCGTTCGTGTTTTCAACAAACGGGAACAACGTTCCAACAGGCAAACCGCCTAGTTCCCTAATACATAAGAAAGCTATAATTTGAATGTATTTTAGAATAGTTTACACAGTCATACGGGGGAATCTCCAGGTCGCTACACAGCCCCCCTCCTAGAAGGGAAACCGTGGGTGACCCTTCGATCTACGTGAGGACTGTCCGTCGCGGGCCAGCCTTCTGCGAGACCAGGTAGTGAAACCTGATGCAGCTGCTGGGGGAGAACCAGGCGATCGGACCCTAGCGGGCTCCCACCCGTGTCCTCCCTAACGGTGCCAAAAACACAAAATGGGGGGGAAGTTCGTAAGCGTCAATGGTTCGCGAGTTCGTGAAGGTCAAATGTTCGCTTCAGGCTCGTCATCTCCTCCGGTTCATACATGGAAGGTAAACGGAAACAAGAGCAGTGACGGTGGAGGCGAGAGCAAAAATAAGAGTGACACTTACCGGATGAGGTAGGCGTCAGGCAAAACGCAGCTCTTTTTGTGTTATTAAAACGTTTTCTCTTTTGGGTTTTCAAAACATTTTGCGTTCTTTTTGGGTTTTCAAAAGAAACTTTTGTCGGTTTTTTTGGCGTTTTCAAAAGCTTTTTGGGGGTTTCGTACGTTGTTGGCCAAAAGGAAAAAAACAATAAGGAAAGTGAAAGAAGCACTAATCCCTTAATCGAGCTGGCCAATGAACGCGTCTACCCGACCTAGTCGACTTGTTCGAATCAGAGGAAGGCGTCGTCTTAGACGTCCTATCGGATCGCAAAATTGGAGGAACTGCTGAAGACGTGGCAGTTGGTTCGATGGGAAGCGGCGGAGCTGAAGTAGAAGGCTTGGATGGAGCGTGATACTTGGGGTCAGGGATGTTGGAAGCAGTCGAGTCTTCCATCATAGGCTGCGTTGATTCGTCAGAAGACGAGTAAGGGTCTTCGTTGAGCTCAGGTTCCACGTGGGCAACCTTGAGACGGTCAATTGTAACGGCTTCACGTTTACCGTGACGGTCGATGATAAAAACGCGGTCCTTACGCTGCAGGACCTTGAAAGGACCTTCGTAAGGTCGCTCCAGTGGTCTGCGGAGACCATCAAGGCGAAGAAAAACGAACGGACAACGCTGTAGGTCTTGCGGAACAAAAGACTTACGTCGTTGTTCTCTAACGTCGGGAAGCTTGTAGTGACGCATGCTCGTGGCTAGCTGACGTGCATAATTCGCGTCGTAACGGGGAATTCTGGGACTATCGGAGAAGAAATCGCCAGGTAAACGCAGTGGTTGTCCATATACTAACGGCGCTAGACGTACGTAGATCGGCCTTTAGGGCTGATCGGATCCCAAGGAGGACCATAGGCAGCACCTCAGTCCAACTCAGCGCATTGGCGGCGCTAAGTGAGGCTTTCAACTGTCGGTGGAAACGTTCCACCATGCCGTTCGCTTGCGGATGATAGGCGGTCGTGCGAATGCGTTGGCATCCAATGAGTTTAAGGAGATCGTTAAAGGTCGTAGATTCGAATTGCGGACCGCGGTCTGTAGTCACTGTGGCTGGACAGCCGTGTGAAGCGACCCAGCGCTCGACAAAAGCGCGTGTTACGGTTTCCGCAGCTACGTCAGGGATGGGAACGGCTTCGGGCCAACGGGTGCAACGATCGATCATGGTCAAAATATAGACCATTCCTTTGGACGGGGCCAGAGGTCCCACTATGTCGAGATGGACATGGGCAAATCGCGCTGAAACGGACGGAAAGCGACCAAGCGGAGCGGACACGTGCCGCTGAATCTTGGCTTGCTGGCAGGTGAGACAGCTGCGTGCCCAACGCGTAAGATCGCGTTGCATCCCCGGCCAAACGTATCTCTCAGAGACAAGCTTAGCAGTAGCTTTAATGCCTGGGTGGGCGATATTGTGGAGGGTGTCGAAAACGATACGGCGAAAAGTTTCTGGAACGACGGGTCGAGGTCGTCCGGTAGATGTGTCGCATAAAATGGTACCATCAGATGACGGCAAAGGGTGCGGGGATATCTTCAAAGAAGAATCACGGAGTTCCGAAAAGGTTTGGTCGTTTGATTGCGCGGCGGCCATAGCAGACAAATCGATTGCCTGCCCGGCAGGGCCAATCGCAGATACTCTTGAAAGAGCATCAGCGACGACGTTTTGTTGACCAGAAATGTGTCGGATATCAGTCGAGAATTGGGCAATGAAATCCAGCTGACGAATCTCACGTGGTGAGTGTCGAGCTGATTGATTTCGGAATGCGTAGATAAGCGGCTTGTGATCGGTGAAGATAATGAAGGTGTTACCTTCAAGGACGTGTCGGAAATGTCGAACGGTAGAGTAAACGGCCAGCAGTTCGCGACTGAACGTGCTGTACTTGACTTCGGCAGGTTGTAGGCGTCTAGAGTAGAATGCAAGAGGTTTCCAGCCTCCATTTGTATGTTGCTGTAGGACGGCGCCAATGGCGGTGTCCGATGCGTCAACAGCAACACTGAGCGGAGCGTTCGGATCGAAGTGATGAAGCATAACGGCTTTAGCTAAGGCTTCTTTGCTGGCCTTGAACGCTTCGGCAGCAGCGGCAGTCAGTTCCACCTGACCGTTTTTACGTCCACGAAGTAGGTCGGTTAGTGGACTTAGCAAATTGGCACAGTGTGGAAGAAAAAAGTCGATAATAGTTGAGCATGCCGTTAAAACGCCGAATAGTGGTTGACGTAGTCGGGACAGGAAAGTCTGTGATGGCGCGGACTCTATCGTCTAGAGGCCATATGCCATACTGATCAATATGGTGGCCAAGAAATTCGACGGAAGGCTGCTGAAATACGCATTTGTCAGGGTTGACAGTGATGCTATTAGTGGCCAACCTATCGAAAAGAATTTCAAGATGTTCTGTGTTGTTCTTTAGAAGCGCTGGCAACTAGGATATCGTCGATGTATGGATAGACGAAATATAGGCCTCTAGTACAATGAACAATGATTTATCACGAGATAAAAGCAAGTGCTTGACACGTCCCATAGGATGGTTGAGGTGAATATGATGGAATAAAAATATGTCTGGGTCATCTATTGAACATCTGCCGAGATGAATAGTTTGATAAGTAACATCAGTGTACAAGTAAAATAAATTATCGAGCGTAAACGTTCAGAAAGACACTGGGGTGCAGTGATCATTGAGGTAAAGAGTGAGAAAAGTAAAATATGGTCGCTCACTTAGATCCGTTTGATACATAAATCCTGTTGTAATGCATCCTTGGCGTAATCCACAGTAGGGGAGTTTAGGTAACAAAATGTTGGGAGCTAAGAGCAACATCTAATCGTTTTTTGAAAACATCCAAGGTAGGAGAGGATGCAACTGAGTCTGGGAGTGCGTTCCATGGTTTGCAAACTCGAAGGGAAAAGTAATTTTGTCGACACTCTAGACGGCTGTATTGTTCCTTCAACTTTAAGCAGTTACCCCTGAGCTACGTGTTGTGGCTAAGTTTCAGCAAATGGCGGCATACGTGGTTGGGGTCACTCAATATTTGATACGCTAATATGAGATCACCGCGCAGCCTTCGATAGCGCCCGCTGAAAATTCCCAGCAACTTCAGCCTTCGGTGGTAAGAGTGGTAGCGCAGGCCCTTGACATTCTTTGTTGCTCTTCGTTGTGGTGCCTCTATCGCTTCTAGGTCGCGTTTCAACCAAGGTTGCCAAGCTTGGATTGCGTACTCAACATGCGGGCGCACGTAGGAATTGTGCGTCATTGGGAAGATGGATGGGTCAAATCTCCCGAATGCTCTTCGCAGCATGCCGACATGCTGGTTGCCTCTTTTCGTAGCTACCTCAGCCTGTTTTGAACAGTTGTGGTCGCTCTGTACGATCACACCCAGGTCACGTTCCTGGGAGCTATTCTGCAGTCTGTTGGTCCCAAGTGAGTAGCTGTAGTTATGACTATGGCGTAATTGTACGACGCGACATTTGTCTACGTTGAACGGTAGGGCGTTTTGAAGTGACCAGTTCGACACTGCGTTAACATCGCACTGGAGCCGTTCATGGTCGTCCGGTCCTCTGTTTCTTTGCCATACCTTGATATCATCAGCGAAAAATAAGAAATCGGAAGCAATTGATCTCGCCAAATCGTTAATGAACACCAATAATAGACGAGGTCCAAGAACCGAGCCTTGTTGTACTCCACACGCCACATCGATTGCATCAGACAATAATTCTCGGGCTCTCACCACTAGCCGTCGTTCTTGTAGAAAATTGTCAATCCAACTCAGGATTGGGTCGCCAATGCCGTAATTCCGAAGCTTGTGAAGGAGAATGTAATGGTTTAAGCGATCAAATGCTTTTGAAACGTCCAGGTAGATGACATCGACCCCTACTCCTTCATCAACAGCTTCGGTCCAGCTATTACGTGCAATTAATAGGTTAGTATTACACGAATGCTTTTGACGAAAGCCATGTTGCTCTGGGGCTATTAAATTGTGGCTTTCTAGGTATTCCATCAGCGCATCTGCGATGACTGATTCCATCACTTTGCATAGTACTGGAAGTAGTGTTATTGGACGGTAGTTGGCAGGATCAGTGCGGTTACCTCCTTTATGGATAGGAGTGCTGACCCCTAGCTTCCATACTGGTGGAATACGGTTCTCCTCTAGACATCGCTGATAGAAAATAGCCAGTGGTGCTGCTAGATCACTAGCTACTGCCTGTAGAGCCTTTGGTCGGATGTTGTCAGCTCCGGGAGAACTGTGGATACGCAAGGATAACAACTTCTTCAACACAGTTTCCGCAGTGAAGGTGATGTTTTCTAAAGCAGATGGTGGAGTAATAGAAATGAGGAGAATGTTTGTGCTCGTTACCTCCTGGAATCGTTGAAATGTCTGGGCTGCGTTGCGAAGACCGAATGGCATACGTAAAAATTCGAAGAGCCCAAACGGCGTGATTACGGCAGTCTTCGGTATGTCTTCCTCAGCGACTGGAATCTGGTGATACGCGCGAACCAGATCGATTTTCGAGAACACACGGGTGCCGCGCAGGCTTGCCGTGATGTCCTGAATGTGAGGAATAGGATAGCGGTCGGGAACAGTAACGTTATTGAGCGCGCGGTAATCACCACATGGACGCCAGTCTCCTGACTTTTTGGGCACCATGTGGAGCGGCGACGCCCACGGGCTTTTAGACGGGCGAACGATGCCTAGTTCAAGCATGTGCTCGAATTCTGCGCGAGCAATTTTTAGCTTGTCAGGGGTCATTCGCCTGGCTTTGGCGAAAACAGGCGGACCTTTGGTAACGATGTGATGTTTTGCAGCATCAGTGGCGGATGGCAACGGTGCCATTGCACGGAAGACTTGCGGGAACTTGGTATTAAGCATCTGACCGATAGGTGAGCTTGACTGGTTGGCGTATACAGGACTGATTGACTCAATGTCGGTCAAAGTACCTATAACTGCCAGATTTGTTTGACGATCGATCAGACGGCGTTGCTTCGCGTCAACAAGCAAATCGAAGTGCTGCAGAAAGTCAAGGCCAAGAATTGGCGTCTGGACATCTGCGACGAGAAAGATCCATTTAAAAGAACGTCGTAGGTTTAAATTAAGCGTGCGCGAGCGTTGACCATACACGCGAATGGTGGTGCCGTTTGCTGCGCGCAATGAACTAGTCGCCTCTTCGATAACATCATTAGAATCACGTGGGATAACGCTGACTTCTGCGCCGGTGTCAACGAGATAGCGTACTCCGTACTGCGATCGGTGACAAAGAAAAGGCGACTGGGGCAGCCAGCAACGTCCGTCGCCCCTACGTGCTGGCCGGCCCGTTTCCCTGCGTGTTGCGCTTGAAGGAACAAGGCGGGCGACACGATCTGGCCTGATGACCAAATCGCTCGTGGTACCAACAATAGCTTGACCTAGGGGGAGATTTCGAACGTGATCTAGGACGAGTGCGACTACTGGAACGATTTCGGCGGTTGGATCCGGACTGTGTTAGGTTCTCTAGTCGGTTGGTAAGTGCGGCTACTTGCGCTCTTAGTTCTGCTACCTCCGTACTGGAAGTAGACTGAACCTGAGATACTTGGGCGTTGGATTCCAAATACGGTCGGCAATGTCGGCGAGCTGAGAAAGAGGCGCATCATTTGCATACAAGGGGTTACGCATGTCACGTGGCAGGCGACGAAGCCACATCTCTTTAAGGAAAGAGTCGCCAACAGAGAGAGGCTTAG